GTAAGTCGCATTAATTACCAAGATGTCGAGCCTCGACGAGAGGCCTGGATTTCTAGAATGAACCCACGGCTTTACATCAATTACGATAAGCCCTCGTTTTTCTTCTATCGAGTGCTCCATGATCTCTACGACTCGCGTTTTCGCATCTTTCAATTTCTTCCACTCAATTTGTCATTCATAGTTCATATAAATTTCCCAGGGCACTTCACGAATAGAGAAACTTACACCTTCGCATAGTAACTACATCCGCACGCTCGCGCGAGCATCTTTGTGCGCCGCGAATTTACATAAAATGAATTTGTAACGAGTTATTTTCCTTGTTCAGTTTAGCAAGCATTTTATAAGGCTGTAAGAAGTTTGACGAGCATCTCATGTGGCTTCAATTTATAAAATTGCTTATTTCTAACTTCGTATAAAATAAAGAACAATGGCGCTGTGTATTAAAAGTTTGAAAAGAAAATGTAATGTTTGTGCGCGCGCCCTCCACACGTATATATGTAATAAAGATGCACTAACTAGTTTGCTGATTGTCTACAATCGAAGACGTATGTATAAATCGATCCTCATAATTGCATTTCTTTATATTGTATGGATTTTTTAATTTTATTATATTTCTTTTTCTTCTATTTTTAATATTTTCCACTCTAATGTCATTATATTTATAAAATTATCCCGAGACTTTTGCGAACGCACGGATATTCCTTTCAATTTGCCTTTGTAGATGAGAAAACTTCGATAGTACCGTATTTATTGGAAAAACTGATAAATCGAGAGAGAGAGAGAGAGAGAGAGAATAGAAAGCGTAAAGAAAAATATTTCGAAAATACACAATTTTAAGTATCTTTTATTTTATTCGCTTATTTATTTCGTTGTGATGATATTATCGTAAGAGTAGCGTCAAAGTTGTTGCTCGCGATTCTCGTCAATGTATTCTTCTTTTGTCTAACGTAGCCGTTCATCTAAGCCGAAAAATATCACCAAACACTTATGCAACTCTCAAGTTTAGAGTTGTATCAGACTGAATTATTTACATCTATATATGTTTCCTTTGACAAGCAGTGAAAATAAATAATAAACCGGTCGTCATATCGACCGT